TGACAACCTATGCCTTCCCCTCAACTACTTGCTCTGTTTTCTCAGATGCATTTTTTATAATGTTTTTAATAGCCCAATTCCCACTCACAGTGGAAAACTAGAAATACAGTCATAGCGCTAAATGACAACAAGGCAAAATCACTGAAAACACACAAAAAAATTTGTACAATTTGTATGATTCCAGTCATCTGTGGTCTAATTTTTTCAAGTCTGGAAAACTATTTGTTTTCTTGAACACTTACTTGTAATTCAGTCTCTGCTAGAAATGTCAGAAACCAGAGAGCCAGATGGGACAGTCTGGGGGTCTCTGGAGAGTTTGGTGTGAGCAAAAGTCAGGAAAAGTATGTCAAAATATATGGAAGAAAAAATCACGTGAGTGAAAAATATGAATAGCTTTTCTTTGAAATATACTAATTTATTTTTTTGGCTGCAGCACACGACTGAAGTTTGAAGGGTAGAATAACATTAACAGAAGTGGTAATAAAATAAGCAGAGTAATTCTGCAAAGAGTAAATTAGTGGATCAGAAAGAGAGAAGAGATGTTTGAATCATTTCTGGGTGAGAGCTATAGAAAAGCTTTCAAGGTCTCTACATGGTGACTATAAAGAAAAAGAAACAAGTATTATTCTTAAAGAAATACTTAGACTCAAAAGGTACTTAGAATAATTATAAATGCTGTATGTTGAGATAAATCACAGTTCCATTTCAATTATATGTGAAGAAATAGTCCCCAGTTTCCCTTTATTTTTGCTTCTCACACTTTAAGAAATTTGTCATTTTCTTGCCCTTCTTAATTCTTCCTTTTCCTCCCTCCCCTCTTTTTCCTTAATGCCAAATCTGGGTGTTACAATATTAATGATTGTAAATAGAAAATGTGAAGCATCAGTCACTTCTCTTAGAAGGTTCCAGAACACACAAGAGTAGGTTTTACAGAACTGCCTGCCATCATGCCCAGCCCCATGGCACAAAGACAAGTTTAGGTGCCCCATGATCAGTGAGTTCTGTGGTCTTCATTGTGTGTATCCAACACAGGAAATTGTAGGAGACTTCTTTTGGTTTGCACAAATCTCAGAAGATTTTGTTCACATTACAAAACAATCTTGGAATATCCTAAATTCAAGCAATTAGAGAATTAGTTATGTGGCCTGAATGTCAGAAATCCCTCTAACCTTCAGGTTTCCTTGACTTCTCTGGAGAATCAAGCTAGGTTTACTCATTCTGTTTTCATAGCAAAGGTCACTTTTAGCCAAAATGATGCACTTGGAAACAATAGTAATTTCTGATATTCTATCATAGAGTTGCAAAACATATTAAAAATGCGTCTTGTGCTACATTATTTGCAAGTTTAGGTGTGGTGACTATTAGGTGTCTAAAAAATATACCTGGTTTAAAATGTCTCACAGCGATAATTGGCCTTCTGATCTTTGTATCATTTATATAAAATACAATACACGTTTGTCAGAGTGTATGGATCCTAGGGACCTTGTACCTAGGGTTAACGTAGGCACAAAACAGCCTGATATTAGGCAAGATATATCATGTGTGTGGAACTTAGAGCTGAAAGATGTGGAGTTCAAGTTCCAGCCCTCCCACTTACTACTTTCACAAAAAAATAGTCATGTCCCTTAACCTCTCTGAGCCTTGGTTTTCTAGTTTAAAGGTTGGGAATATCACCTCCTATTTCAATGGGTTGTTGTAAATATTGTTTATTTTTTCATGCTTTTTCTCATTCCACAAAGAATTTGACATGACATGCATATATTTAAAGATAAAATAAAATGTATTTGCTAGTGCTTTGCAGATTACACAAATATAAGCCACCAGACATCAGTGTCAGGCCATTTGGATTCCTGAGGAGGTCTGTCCCTTAGAATAAAAGTGCTTCTAAGCAGATGTTTTGGAAACTTCCATTTAATAAGTGCAAATAAAATGAAATTTGTCCATGCATGTCGTAGACTGATTATAGATGCCAATTTAAAATAAACCCATGAGAAAGGAAGAGTACGCAAGACCTTTTAGATTGGGGACTATTTACAACTAATAAAAATATTAGACTCAGACAGTTAATGTCTGTTAATTGAAAAGAATGTACATAATGACAAAAAGCTCTCAAGGATTAAGTAACTCTTTTCAATAAATTTGTGTCTTGTTAGTCATGATAAACATGTACAAACATTTGAGAAAGAATAGAACTCAAGTGTGAGTCATTTTTATTCAGCTTAAAGACAATGCCTTTTGCTGCATTTAGGGTTGGTGGATACCTCACGGTAACACAGAGGCATTGAAATACCAGTGGCCTCTGGGTTCCTTCTTCTAATTCCTCTTATTATCATGTGCCATTTGCCTTAATCTTGGGTTACTAGCTCTCCTTATCTGTCCTCTGCATCTAAAGCCTCCAGAAAGATTGCTCTGGCATGGCCTAATAGCTTTTATCAGCTCACCCAGTGGCTCTTACGCTTTGATGCTTGAAACAAGGAGTTAACCACGTGGTGCCAAGCCCTTCTGAACAAGTCAACTGCTCTCCTCTGTAAATAATGGCTGTTTATGCCAAGGCCACCGAGATGGGCTCCCCACCTCTTCCCTCTGTCAAAGTGAGATGGAATCTAAGGATAGAAATTAGGGGCTATTTGCCGCACTCCCCCCACTCCCCTTGCTTAATTTGATCTAATTGGAGAGAAATCGCTGGGTATGTGGTGCACCATAACAAGATTAGACCCCCGCTCTCTTTGGTCTTATACTTTAAGCTCCTGTCATGTCACCCTCCTAATATCTATATGGTATATTTGGCTGATAGTTAAGTTGTTAAAAAAAATGGTGCTGATGTTCCCAATGCACAGGATTTTGCAAGGACGAAATGAGACAAATATGTAAAGTGCTAAATAAAAGGTTGGGCACACAGCAGCCTAATGGCAGCAGCTACTGCTGTTGTTTCTGTTATTAACAAACTGAGGAAGAGGGGACACTAACCTAGAATGTTGGCTTTTCTAGGATCCCTGCTGGTAAGATCAGTATAGAAAACAACCTTCAGAGAGACCATAATGTGTAGGCAGAGAACAGGCAGAGAGGCTGACTTGGAGGAGGCAGGCTGGGCAGCTAAGTTTTATGCTGGGAGGGCCACAGTCCCAAATTTCAGACTTATCCCTTTCTGCCATTTTGTAGCAGCATGTGATGTGACAACACTACTGGCCGGGACAGGTTAAGTTACTTCACTGCACTCAATATTAATAAGTCACCTCGCTTTTTAATTAATGGAACTTTTACATATCTTAATCATACGTTCACAAGGAATAGAGAGTCTTTTTTTCTCCCCCTCTGCTCCTCTCTTCTATGGAAAGAATTTACTTCCCATATGGGGTTATCATAAAAGCTGAAAGGATTCAAGTTTAAAGTAATACAGTGAGTGATTGAAAAGCTGTTATACACCTTCATGTTCTCCTTCTTACCCTTTTGCATTTACATACAGGCCTCTTTCAAAGGAACAGACTTCATCTTCAGTTTGCTTTATGCAACTCACCCCTTTGTGTTTGGTTGGCCTAGAGATTTCCTTTGCTTAAATTTAGCATTTATCAATCACAACTAGCAATGCATGTGATGGTGTTAACGGGAAATTCCACAGGACCCTCTTCACACTGGGGAAGGGGAACATCTGCTACTTTTGTATTAGGATGTCAAGATTTAGAGGTCAATGTGTTTCCCCATCAAGGCTTAAGGCTTTGGGGATCAGGGGAAGTGTCAGGCTCCAAGCAGCACAATGAATGGCAGCTGCTGACTGGCTAGGTCTGCCTGTTCTCAACGGGGGATATTGCTGTTTGGCATAATGCGCTGAGACTTAGTGTGCTAAACACACCCAGCTCGGGTAGTGAGGCAGGCTGTGTCTTTTTTTCCCCCTGCTTCTGCACTGCCTTTTTAATCTTGGAAGAAATTATGTTGGGGTCTTCATTAGTGGCACCCAGCAGGGTGAAGACTCCATGAGGGCCGATCCGCACTATGGCTAAAAAAACTATCAGCCTTTGTGCAGGGAGTTGAAGGTTTAAGTTGCCTGAACCGGAAAGAGTCTGAAGAGGCGATTATGTTAAGCAAGTAATGTGTATCGGTAACATGGAATCGAATTACCAGGGTCAGTGACTACCTGGCTTTCCCTGTGCATTAAATGAAGACATAATATTGCATTTGTGCTGGGCACTTCTTGATGCCACATGCTATCGGCACCGTCCAGTCATCTGTATTTCACACCATGTCACCTCTAATTTCATGGGATTATCTGCGCTGTTGCTTTATTAGATACTCATGATCTTGAGCTTCCTTTGAACTCACAGCAGGGCAGGGCAAAGTCATTATTGTGAACAATTCCGTGCTTCTTGTGTTATATACAAAATTATTATTGCCATGATTTAGAAAGGTAGATATAGCCCACTATCATGCTTCTAAAAGTTTGCATTTATTTGCTCGTAAGGGAAGCTACGGAGAGGGAAAACATTGAACATGACAAATGTTTTTGAGTACTAGTGTTAGAAAGGTGTCAAGGCAGTGAATTAGTATTAGAAATGTATATAGGACAGTCGTTCAAACTGCGGTCCCCTGGTCAGCAGTATCAGAATCACCTCGGAACTTGTGAGAAATGCAAATCTTACTGGGTCAGAAACTCTGGGGTGGGGCTCAGCAGTCTGTGTTTTAACAAGCCTTCCAGGAGATTCTGATGCATGCTCAAGTTTGAGAAATACCGCCGAAGCATTTACGGAGTACAAGAATGGGATAGATCTGTATTTTCTGGGGCACAGTAGTAGACAAGACAGATGAAGTATCTGCCCCCGTGGACCTTATCAAATTACAAAGGACTATGTGGTTCTTTGCCCTAATGAAATGTTTATACATACCCAACGGAGCCTATAATTATTGTAGATACCATTACATTCTGCATTTGAATTAGCTTGTTATGTTCTTTGGTATCAGAGAATGACTAACAAAGGATAACTAATGCATGATTCCTTTGTGCATTTCAGAAACATCCCCCTTGCAATATGTATATCCATGGCCATCGTCACCATTGGCTATGTGCTGACAAATGTGGCCTACTTTACGACCATTAGCGCTGAGGAGCTGTTGCTTTCGAATGCAGTGGCAGTGGTAAGTCCAGGTTGGGAAAAATGCCAATTCGAATTTAGGTTAATGAGTTGATTCAATTTTATAGTAGGTCCCTCCAGCAGAAAGTGTTTTGAAATTCAGTAATCTTTTCTTGACCTGAATGATAATGAATATTTTAAAAATTTAGAGCACCCCTTAGCATATTCCATGTAACTGATGCAGCTAAAATCCTATATGATTTATCTTTACATTTAATTTCTTGTAAAATATTTCCACATATACATGCTTGAAAATCTGTCAAGGCATTGTTGAGTAGAAGGCATTATTCTTCCAACATGTCCTTAAGGATAGGTGGACAGTTACTGAATCTAAATGAATGTGGGTTTTTTTTTGGTATAAAAATCTTAATTCATTCTGTACTCTTTCCTGTTTGTAAACTTTTCAAATGCTAATTTAAAATCCTTTTCCCAAAGTAGCACTTAAGAATTTTCATGTGGACCATATAAATTTGTTTTTTCTAGCATATCCTTTTGAATACTAGTCCTGAGATGTTAATATATTTGGGAAACTCTGGGATTTTTAGAGTTAAACAGATGTCGTTATAGTACTTCTCAGAATATTAAGATACTAATGTGCATTTTAACTCCCTGAGAAGTGGATACACATAATTTTATAGCATTTTCCAAAATTTATTTGACACCAGGACCATCTTTGTCCCCAAAGATCATGGTATAGGATTGTTATTTTGTGACACATACTTTTATTTTGCATAAAAACTTAGTGAGTGAGAGACCATTCACCCATGACCCCATAACAATGAAGGGTGAAAAATTAACTTCGCATCACTTGAAGTCAGTTCCTTTAAAAATAGTATTACTTCATATCAGCAGCATTCACAAGGAATAAATTATCTCACTTTGTGTGAACCTATGTACGAGTTCACTGTATTAAAAAGATTTTGCCCACTGTTCTAACTCCTACCAGACACTCAAATATACAACACTTACTGATGTTGGGTCAGTCTTCTCATCTTTCTAGACAAAGGGCAGTGCTTATTCTTTGGGCATAATGTGGTCCATTAATTACAAAGCACCAGCTGCATCAAGGACAGATAGAGAATTCCACATCATTTTTGGGAAAACTACATCCTCCATGGGAATTTGCAATGTTGCACATATCATGGTATAAAAGAAAATTGCGGAAGTTTTGTTTACCTTTTATATTTTCTGTGGCTTGTTGAACTTATATTTGTGTTCTAGCGTTTTTATAAGGAACCACAAAAGGAATTGTCAGGATACCTGAGAGGGAGGGAGGGACTCCATAAACATGGATTCAGCTGGTGTGATTTTTCTGGAAAAAAGATTTTCAGGGTTGCTTATATATATGGTATAAATTATGAAGTCATCAATTATTTTACTGACTTCCTAACAATGGGATTGGTATATGAACCAAGTATCTGTAATAATTCTCAGTGTACGTTTGTACTTCACCGTGAAAATATGGCTTTCCAGGCTAAAGAGAAGGTATTGTGCAGAAGGATTTCTGTCTCCAAAAGCAGAACTTCTGAATTGAGCTTTTTTCTACTTACCAGAGTCAGAGACGATACATATCATAGTTGATAAAGATTCGGTAAATGGATCATTGCTTTTTGAAAGTAGAGAGAAGGTGCTTGTTTAGACCTTTGCTTATAGTTTCGCAACAAGCAATGCCATGGTACCCGCTTTTGATTATAGTCCACAGAGTGAGTCTGACCCTAACCAAAGAGAAGAATTTTAAAACATACATGTATCACCAGGGTACCAGAGAGTCATAGAGCAAGTTTGGCCCAAATTGTTTCATTTTATTTCACTTTCTAGCAAAGCATTAATTTGCTTCATTCTTTCTTTCACTAGACCTTTTCTGAGCGGCTACTGGGAAATTTCTCATTAGCAGTTCCGATCTTTGTTGCCCTCTCCTGCTTTGGCTCCATGAATGGTGGTGTGTTTGCTGTCTCCAGGTGAGTGAGTTCACATATTTCCAGAAACACATTTCTGTTTTTGAGATTGGATGTGATAAGGATAACTTTAAAAAGAAAAGAAATAGTGCCTCCAAACCTTTGTTCTTAAAGGGACGTGCAAGATTGCAATGTTGGTTCAAGTATTAGCAGCAGGTTTTATTCTGCCCATTAGAGGGCACTGCTTGTCTACTCCTAGCCTACTCTGAAAACGGACATGTGGCATTTTTTAATAGTATGTCTGCAGAGTCTAACAGTAGCTTTTCATTTCTGGTGATAAAATCTTTCGTTTCTCTAAAGATATCAAGATTAAAGTAAAGAAAGAGACAACAGAAATCACCACCCCCCTATCTGTATCCCCTTTGTTCTGTTTGAAGCAAAAGTCCCTTTTTAAAAAATATTTTTGACAATTATGTTTATTTAATTCATTTTTCATTTGTAAGGTGAAATTAATGTACTACATATCTGACATTGTTGTTATCATTGTTACTTAGCATTAATGTATGATGAGATTGAAACCCAATCAGATAAATATGAATGCTGTATGTGTGTGCGTACATGTGTATGTGCATGTGTGTGTTTGTTGATCTGAATTGACAACACGCATATAATACTAGGAATATAGAACTAAATTCACCATCAGCTATTTATATGTAGGGAGAGCTATACTGAATCAGACATTGCTATTGTTTCTCCTCAAAGACTAATATAATGTCGGCAGATTGTATAAAATTTGAATTTAGATTTTTTATGTTATTCTGTACCTTACCTGAAAAGTGACATCTAAGTAATCACTTAAGAAATGCCAAACCATTTGGTAGGAAAAAGATGCAAATTTTCTCTGGGATTTCTGGATTTTCCCTTTGAAATGATCAATTATATAGTCAACTCCACCCACATTTTTCTCCCATCAGGTTATTCTATGTTGCGTCTCGAGAGGGTCACCTTCCAGAAATCCTCTCCATGATTCATGTCCGCAAGCACACTCCTCTTCCAGCTGTTATTGTTTTGGTAATGCATATTAACAAGTATATCTAGATATAACCTTGAATAACAGGTTAGCAAAGAGGGAGTCAAGTCAGACTTTAGGTAGTGCTTTACTTTCTCATTCGTTACTAATGTATGCCATGGTGGAGTTTGGGAGATAGAATATTTTCCATTCCTTCCCTTTATTCGGTGTTTCTGATGTGTATTTGATGCTTTGGGGTAATAACCACGTCACTTGTCTTTCACCTTTGCAGAAATTTGTAAGGTCTAAGGAAAATGATTAGCTTGGCTCCTCTCCCTAACACAGAGACTCACAGGAAAGGATGCGGAGTAATAGGTCCCAACTATTAATACTTACATAAAGTAAAGCTAAAAGCTCCAGTCCAAAAAATACCTGGTGGTCTCATCATGGGCACCTCATAATGAAATGCACACAAAATTATTCAAAGAATTGATGAAATCCTAGACAGTGCAATGATTCTGTGATTAAAAGTGAGACATTTGAGAGCAACCCTGCGGCATAAAAATAAAAACACCAAAACTTAAATTTGAGTTGTAGAATTCTTTATGCAGAGAAAAGTGTTTGTGAAATGTGGGCTACAAAAGACTGTATAAGGTGTAAAAGTCCTCAAATACCCATTGGTAATGTTATATTCATTTTCCCCTACGATTTTGTGATATTTTTCTCAAGTGGAATCTGTTGTCAGGAGCACCATAGAATGCATCGAACATTTTTTTTTTTCATGCATTTAATTTGTTTCTGAACGTTTCCTTGAAATTTCTTTTTAAAGTACACGTACTCTCTGTGCGGAATCTGGAAGTTAATGTCACTTGTGGGAACAGAATGTATTATTCCATGAAGAGGGCTTTCGTTTTAAGCCTCTGCTATCAGTCATGCTGTCCTTGGCATGTGCAGCTGCAGAGACTTGCTAAGCTGATCTCTGTGCTCATCTTCTCTGTGGTCTTGAGGGTCACACACGTGGAGAGTAAACATGGAGGGAAAAAGGTCAATGTTTTGCAATCAAGAATCCCCAGAATCAAGAACCCCTAAGTGGCTGTGGTTCCTATGTATGTATAGCCAAGAGCTCATCAGAGAGCATTCGCAGAGCTTTGTGTGAATTTTCCAATTGGGTTCATTTTTAATGTTCGTTATTGGCTATTTACTAGTCATCTCAGTCTTTGGATCTTTAAATTTTGAATCATTGAATATCCTTTCTTTTGCTCTATGAAAACACATTCTCTTCTCTCAAGTGTAGAAGGAACTAAAACCAAAATAAAACATTCATGTAAAATTCCACCTGAATGAAAGGTAATGGTGATGGCACTCTTACACTGTCACTGGTGTGTAAATGCATTGTTACAGCAGAACATAGAAAAGAGTTAGTCAAATTGTGGTTTTAATGATGCTGCTAGTTTATCAGTGTAAATAATCATTTGAAAAAGATAGTAATGGGTAGTGACGTCATTGTTATCACCTGTGTTCTCATTTAATTCACCAAGCTTCATTTTTTTTCCTCCCTTCCGCCACCCCCAGCACCCTTTGACAATGATAATGCTCTTCTCTGGAGACCTCAACAGTCTTTTGAATTTCCTGAGTTTTGCCAGGTGGCTTTTTATTGGGCTGGCAGTTGCTGGCCTGATTTATCTTCGATACAAACGCCCAGATATGCATCGTCCTTTCAAGGTAACCTCAGTAATCTTGATGGGTTTCCATAAATCTTTCTCCTAATACCTAGTCCTCCCTTTGTCATAATTTGATGATGGGAAGGTTGGGCAGGGGACAGCATCCCGTAGAATAAAATGTTTAACTCTTGCAGGCAGTGCCTTCCTATTGGATTTATTGTAACTTGGAAAAATTAGTCAAAATTTTTATGTAATATACTGAACTTTCTATGTCACATTTTTGAAAAAAAGATGGTATAGATGGATGTTTGTTATTCTGGTTTTTCATGAATGTGTCCAATGACCTGATATGTCCAAAGTACGGGATACTTGTGTCTTCATGCTGAGTAGTTGTGGACAGCCATGCTGAGAAAGAGCGAGGTAGATACTTCTCTAAAAGGCTGCTGCTTTACAAAATAGGCATTTTTAAGTACGTCAAAGTCGTGGCTTGATACATTGCTCTTTCTGTACATTATACACTCTAAAAGGAATAGGAATGTAAAATATACAGAAAAAGAGAAGATCTATGAACTTGCCACTTAGTAGAATGTCCATGTAGCAAAACTAAGTATTTCCTTTGGGGAGGGCCGAAGACTCTGCTTGTCATCGCCTTCAGCCTTGAATGTTCACGGATTGATTTGACCTCAGTATTTATTTGCTTTTAAGAAATAGCACAGATAAGGCTGTCAGTCATGTTGTCAGAATTCTAATTATATTCATCGCCTAATGCTGGCAGCATCTTCATTAGCGGTTGAATAGGAGTTGGCCTGTTTTATTCCTGTCAGTTCTTATTGTGAATCTCATCAGAAAATCAATATGCACTGAAAGACTTTAACATGTAACTTATCAGCCAGTGCTCTGGACTCCATGTTAAAGTGGATTCTAATCATAATGATCAAAGAGCCAATCTTTTAAAATCGAAAACATAAATCATAACATTTTTTAACTAGTAAAATAATTCCAACAGAACATCTCTTATGAAATAGCCTTTTTTCAAATTTCAGCATATTACGGGGGGACAAATGTTTAGGTTACACAGACTGCCTTTGCCCCGCCTGAGTCAGAGCTACAAGTGTGTCCATCCCCCAGACGGTGCACACTGCACCCATTAGGTATGAATATACCCATCCTCTCCTCCCTTTTTGTGCTTAGATTTTGTTCTATACAAAGATTTTAAAACAATTTAAATTAAATTGAATTAAATTTAAGGAAGTATGTTTAAATGGGGCACTCTCTGTGCCCCATGAAAGAGATTTTGCTACTAAAAGTACTTTGGTGCCTGTCACCTGGTCATGTGACTAAAGCATATCACATGACTGACATGCTCATCTTGAAACCACCTTCTGTCTCTTGAAGTACATTTAAAATGATTTTTTTTTTTCTGTTCCATGTTCCAGGTACCACTGTTCATCCCAGCTTTGTTTTCCTTCACTTGTCTCTTCATGGTGGCCCTGTCTCTTTACTCGGACCCATTTAGTACAGGGATTGGCTTTGTCATCACTCTGACTGGGGTGCCTGCATACTATCTCTTTATCATATGGGACAAGAAGCCCAAGTGGTTCAGAAGAATGTCAGGTAAGATTTTTAAGCAGTTTCAGGACCTTGTGAGAGACAGTGTTACAGAAAACCTGCAGAGGTGCACATACGTAACATGCATATCTTAAAATTAAAAGATATAAGTGGCATAATTGCTACTTTGAGTACATTATTGCATTTTAATTGGAAATGCTTTTTTTTTTTTTTTTTTGTAGGAAGGACACGCAGGGTATAGCCATTGAATCTTTTCAGGGTATTTAGTAGTTTGGATGCTCTAATCACTTCTTAAGAGAACTGCTTTTTTGATTGAATTTTATCAGCAGTTCTGTAAATGACCTAATTGCTCTTTTGAATCCCTTCCTAACCTAGTTATTTTTCTTCTGGGTTGAATGCAGTTTAGTGATTCTATATCATAACTTGATGCGTGACGTGAGATTTGTGGTGGAGTTAGGCAGAGGCCTGCAAGTGTGTTCGATATCATGATCATAACACTACATCAGTAGGAACAGTGACTCACAGACAGGTCATGACAGCAAGAACAACGAAGAGAAGAATAACGGCTCCCATTTATTGTGTGAATTCTATGTGTTTGCACATGTATGCCCTTGTTTATTGCTTAAAACAGGCTTCTGAAGTAGGAAAAAAATGAGTATCTTCATTTTATAGATTTCGAATTATAGCATGGGAAAATTCATGTCATTTGTTCCAAGTCATACAGATATGAAGTAGAGGAGCTGACACTCAAACTCAGGGAGTTTTGTATTTTAGAAAAATCACCCTTGGGGCAGTGTGGATGGATTAGAGAGGATTGAGGCTAAAATCAGAGAATCAAGTTTGGTGGTTATTGCAGCAATCCCAAGAATTGAAGGGGGTCTGAACACAGGCAGTTTCAGCAGGGCGTGAGAGAAAGGGAAAAATACTAAGGAGGAAAACCCAGCAGGACGTGGTGACCATTTAAGTTGGGGGAGAAGAAAACATAATAGATCGCTAAATCAGAAGGTGCTTATGAACAGCCTGTGTTGAAAGCCCCTGTCTCTATCAGGGCTCTCCTGAGTCCTCTCCCCTACGTTATCATCTCAGTCAGTCCTCACCAAGATTGATGTGCCGAGGCGGTGCTAATCTCAGACCCAGAAGAGGAAACCGGGGCTCAGGGAGATGGAGAATTTATTTTTCAGTGTACAGATTTTGAACTATAGAGCTAGGATTTGAACCCACGTCGGCTGGACTTCAAAGTCTATGCTCTTTCTAGAGTGGATGCGTTGTAGAAGAAAAAGAGAAAGAGAGAGGTCAAATATATAGCTAGAGGGGCAGATATGTTTTTGCTGGTTGGTTTAGAATGTACTTTTGTACGTCTTTGTTTTAATTTACTTACTTTACTGCAATTAACCTTTAAAATCCAAGTTAAAAGCTTAGGGAGAGTTCTGGTAAAATTATTAATAAATAATGTCAATGTTACTAAAAAACAGCAACAAAATCTGAATATACATATTGAATCTATAGTGTGCTATACGAACTCATTTAGAAGCCAGCCATTTAAAGCAGAGTTTTACTACTACTCTTTGTTAGATTTTATTGATATTTGGCATCTTTAGACCTCATACTACCATTTATACCTGGATTTTGTTTTCTAGCTGGTAACATTCTCTCTCACAGAAGTGTTACTATACAAGTTAAGCACTTGAAGGCTAACATAGGCACACTGATTGCCTTAACCAAACATTTAATCTGCATTTCTTGTTAGCTCACACTAGTTTTATGTAGAATATTTTTATGTGAGTTTTCTCTGTTGTAGACACTTACCACAGAGCCTATTCAGAAGAACAGAAAAGATATTGTTAAATATAGTTACCATTTAAGACAGATTAGCGCTCACCACTGTGAGATCTGTGTCTATCTTCCATCCTAGCTAGGGATAGTTCAAACCCCTGAGCACCATAGAAAACCAACAGAATTTAGGAAGAAAGAGCTAGTAACACTAGAGTAGGAGTAGAATGAGAAGAAGCATAATGGAAAAGCAAAGTCGTTGTCCTATCCCACTTAGTAGGTGTTTTCATCCTCCTGTTTGTAGTCAGCCAACTGAAAGTTCTCTCCTTTTGCTAACATGTATGTATTTTGTACCATGTCTTTGTCAGTTCATAATGAGCTTTACAACAGGCAATTCTCATGCTTGATCCTTGCTATTATATTTTTCGGTCTCTAATGATGTTTTGAACATCTCCAAGGCCTCCAAATTTAGTGTTAGCCTTTTGTGAAACTAGCAGCAATGGAGCAGTCCCGTAACAGTTATTTGGTTCTCAAAAATGCCGTTAAGTCTTACCAGGGAGCTGGCAATTTTGCCTTTAAACTGTGATCATTGTGACTCTTTATCTTTATAGCTGCCCTGAAAGTGAGTAGCAAAAAGCAACAATCCTCCGTAATTTTGTTTGATTTTCCTCTTAGGCAGCATTCTTGTAGTAAAATAAAGAAAATTCATAATATTTATTGCTGCAATAACAAGTTATTTTCTTAGCCTTTGGCTAAAACAAAACACTCACACACAGACACATAGAAGAACAGAGTCCTAAACCTCCACCCCAACCTTTCTCCCAACTACTCTACGTTCTTTTTGTTAGAGAGAAACTCAGTGTGAACTTGGAGACCAAGAGAGCCTTTGCTTGGAGGAGTTTGTTCAGTAATTTCATATCATATTGTTTTGCTTGGTAAATTTCTTTAAATTTTAGACTATCATTTATTTTTACTCTAACATACATGAGTAGATTAGCCCTGTGAAAATGATAGTCTATTAAAATACGTCTTACCTAGGTTGTTTCCAAGAAAAATGAGAGGTGACGAAACAGTGTTCAGAAAATGGTGAAAAGCTGCTTAATACAGACAGCCAGGGAATGTTCAGAACACAAGGATCTCAGATTTTCAGAGATTTGATGAATTTTTCTGGCCACAGGATGCCAGTGTTGAACCACTTTTTGTTTGATAGTGTTTCTAGGGAGAAAAGAAAACGTGCTCTTTAGGGAATAGGCAGATACTGTGTAAAGCTTTTCTCTGCCATCTGTGACTGAGTGGTTAATTCTCCTGATTGGTTATTTATATTATTTATTTACTCATAGAAATCCAGGATTCTCACGTAAGGCAAAAGGGGCAAATACCCCACCGATATATGCAAATATAGGCAGGTAGTAAGACCTGGCAAATCCCCGGTCTTGCTGCTCGGCTGTCTCTCTATTTATCAGCCAAAACCTGTGACAGCTGAGGGTGCACAGGGTGGCTGGCAGTTGGTCCCTTTTGCTCAGGGAGAAATACGGTAAACATCCTTATTCAAACAAAATCTTTTATTATAAAAAATCACACTGGGCAACACCAGCAGAATGACTGTCATGCATCTTTGTGGAAAGCGATTTTGCAACTCAGAGTCCTAAAAGCTTATGTTGCATGCACTGTGTCACGATAACTTATGATAAGTCACTGAAAGCTAGTTAATGCATTTCACAGCCTTTTCATGAAGACTGCAGTCCAACATTTTCAATTAATTAAACTTGTCTACATTTCTTAGGGGTCCAAACTGTCTTCATTGTATGGATAAAATGAGATCACACTTGTGAAAAGGTTTTGAAGCCTTTAAAAAATTACTTACTATTCTTCTTATTATGACTTTCAGAGAAGATTTGCTTTGTGCTACTTCACAAACTTACTCAATTTTTGTTGTAGTTCCCATGTTGGTCCAGGTACAGTTGGGTAAATCAGATTTTGCAAGGTGATTTGTTATCTCAACTTTTTTCAAGAATAACTACTGAACATGAAAGGTAAAGCTAAACATACTGCAATTGTTATTTGGTCCTGTAGCTTGCAGTTACTAAAACACCTAGCACAGATTCATTGACTCGCCCTTACTGAAAGCAGTAACATCATGGGGGTGATGATCCCCAAGCCAAAAGCCTTTTCGTGAGCGTGGATGTAGAAATGGCAGTCAAATGGCACATGCTCTGCGGTGTTTCCAGCAAGCTGGAGGCTGCTTTAGAGGCTTACTTGCCTTCATTGAGTAACCCTGTCTGACCTACTGCTGTCAGATAACCCAGAAGGAAAAGTTGGTGTGACTCCAAAAGGTACTCATGGCCAAAATCAATCACTCCGTGGAAACCTTCATTATGATGAAAATTAGTCAAATCTTGATATCCCAAGAGAGAGTGTAAGAAAGCTACCAGGGAGATTGTTAATAGGGCTGACTGAACGTGGAGGAATAGTAGACTGCAGAAAGTGTGCGGAACCAGAAGAGAGATTCTTTGGCCATCGTTGTGCTCCTGAATGGAGGACCTAAACAGATTTCAGGAAGGAAAGTGACATACTTGGAAAGCAGCAGGATCGAAGTTGCTCCTTATTTGTGTGAAATGGAGCCAGGGATATGACAAGGGAGGAGGCAAGATGTCTAAGAAAGCACAGGTGTAGGGGGCCCAGAATATAGAGAAACGCTTTTGGAAAAGGCTTTGGCGTTGGGTGTGGAGGGCAGACGTTGTGGAGATTAGTTCAGGAGGCTGGGGCAGGACCTCTTCAGGGAGACAAAGCCGGAGAGGATGTCTTCTTGACACCACTGCTTTTCATTTGGCCCATTGCAGACGCTTGAACCCCTTGTTTTTTCAACCTGCTGTCAGCCCTAGCCCCTTCTCTGCCTAAACATGTTATATCTCCATTACTATTGATTGATACTTACTTTTCCCCAAAAAGTCTATTTTTATAGGACAATTTTGCAATTTCCTTTTCTGTAACTATGAGCTTTAATGGCTCTTGAGTGCTCCCTTATTCCACACTTACATCTCAATGTAAAGAGCGGGGGCTGTGAAAAATAAAGTTTATTTAAGAAATATTTATGTAGAGCTTATCATTGGCTAGCACTGTGCTGGGCTCTTGACAATTAATATTGTCTGTAAAATTAATGTGCTGAGGACAACATCTTTGGTGAACATGGTTATAAAGCAAAGGATGAAAGAAATATTTTTGTAATGTCATTAAATATTTCATGGAAGGGGCTACTACAAGGAACGAGTCATAAATGAGGAGAAATATTATATGTCCAAATGAGAGAAGATGTGTGTCTGAAACCATCAAGAGGATGGGCTCTAGACTTCTCCAGGTCTGGCAGGAAGTCGAAGAGTTTCTGTAGGGATTGATCACAAAGATAAGAGGTGAAGAAGAACTAATGTCCCTGGAAAATGGGGTCACAGAGTTCTAGGACTGCCAAGGTAAAATGACCTTAGAAATCATCTAACCCAGTGGTTCCTACATTTTTGTATCTATCAGAATTACAGATTGCTAGGCCTTCAGGGTTGAGGAAGGGTTGAGCTTGCAAATATTCATTTCTATTATCTCAAGTGATGCTAATGTTGCTGGTCCAGGAACCACACTTTGAGAAACACTGATTTAGTCCCTCATTCTACTGATGAGGCAAACGAGGCCCTTGGAGATAAGATAATTTCCTCAATAATATGCTACAAGTTAGAGACTGGAAATAATATTCTGATTCTTCTACTGATTCTTCTGAGGAACAGGTTGTAATCTCATAGGTGCGAAAAGAACAAGCCAATTTTAATATGAAGTATATTTTGAACATTTATTTATATCTTGGTTCTATTGTCTCACAATATTTTCAGCCTCCCAGTTCATGAATAAAAGTCCTTATTTGAATGCAAAATATTAATGTATTCTTGCTGAGAAGCCATCATGGGAAGTTACAGAAGTGACAAATAAATTAATTGAGCATGATAGGATTCTAACGAAGTAAATAATTCTTGAAAGTTCTCTATGAAATAGGCGGTTGTGTGTTTTCAGTATTCAACCACAAGTAATTCATATTTTGCTGTTTTTATGCATTTCTGATTTCCATGCATTTTTAATTTCTCTTCTTTATTTCTTTGCAGACAGAATAACCAGAACATTACAGATAATACTGGAAGTAGTACCAGAAGAAGATTGTCGTAAATTATGAACTAATGAATTTGAAGTCTTGGCCACCTGCGCAAGAGCAGAGACACAATATGGATCTTCCCTTCATTTTCTGAAAATCCAGAGAATCGCAACTTTGGTGACGGACTAAAGGAATCAATTATTTCTATTCATATCATTTAGTATATTTAAACTAATTTCTAAGAAATTTACTTATAACTCCATGTAGTTATAGAAAGCTAATATGCAATTGTGTATGAGTTCACACGGTTCTCAAGTGTCCGATATCTACCTGTTGGAGTTAGGGAAAAAGATTAAGAAAATGGACAGTTACTTTAGTGGTCATTCTCTACACCATGTCTTACTGTGGCTAAGAACCTTCAAATTGATGACCGAGGTGTTTTCTGTATGTGTGGGTTTTGTATAACTGTTTTACACACCATAGGTGACTATACTGTGAAAAATGTTGTCTATTCTTCTTAAAAAAACACACATCATTATTAAGGCAAAGAGGACAAAAAGAAATTTATTTTATGTTGACATTGCATTGCTTCCCCTTAGATACCAATTTAGATATCACTCATCTTTTAATGGATTATACCCAGAGCATTTTGAACAAAGGTCAGAGGGGATATGTTGAATACTTTATTCTAGGGGCTATTGTTTATGAGACAAAAATAAGATTTATGTTGGAGTAAAAATCCTTGAGAATATATTATGTTAGATATTTCTTTACTCATTATCAGAAAGTTCCACAGTTATGTGCCATTTCGTTTTCACATCAGTCTGTTTGATCTGGAAAGTGTGTAACACTTCTTAGAGCAAGAATCAGTTTGATATTAAAATCCTCTTAAGAATAACTACCTACTTCACTAATAATTTACCCCTGATAAATAGATCTAAACATGTACATTTTTAAATCTTCAAATTACGATATCGACATGAGAGAAATTACCAATAAAGAAAATATCCCCAATATTAGGACCATCCTTATAATCATATTGACATGAAATGTTAGTAATTCTGAACTTTGAAAAATATTTAGGCTATTTTTACATTGTAATGAATTTTAAGAGTTTGTGCATTTCTTTTGTGTATTTTATATTCTATTAAAATAGCTCTTTGGATAAAACTGTCCAGATAAATTATGGAAAAGTGCATATTAATATAAAAATTGAGGAAGAAATGTCATTGCTAAATAAGATTTACAACTGATGTTTCTAAAAAAATTCCTCTTCTATATCTAGGGTTTTTCAGTAATTTCCTCAACTTAATTATCATTCAACTTGTAAAAGAGATAACTAATAATAAGTTCATCAAAAGAAGGAGAAATTG